GTGTGTGTGTGAGAGAGAGAAACAGGAGGATGGAGAGAGAGAGGATGTGTGTGTGAAGGAGAGAGAGAGAGAGCGAGAGAGAGAGAGAGAGAGAGAGAGAGAGAAATTGAAAGACGGTATCTCATTTCTTAAAGCCGAATTCTCCTCTCTCCACAGCTTGTTAACCATGCACACGCGCGCGCGCGCGCACGCAGGGGGTAGCCTAATCCAGGCCATTCACTCAGGGAACTTCAACGTCAAAACTGGCAAGGGATCGGCGAAGAGAACCGGACGACACAGACGTGGGAGAGACAGAAAGAGAATGTGAAAAATCAACCCGCAGTCCGGAGTTTGATAACCGCCGTGCGTCCTGCGTCATCCCGCCTGCAGCCTCCAAACACGGCGAGTCTCCGCTAACAGCAGGTACCGGGGGGGGGGGGGTAACACAGTATTATTCGACGTTTGGTGTTCTGCCACCTTTAAGTGAGGCAGTAAAAAGTGGCCGTCTACGGACAGATCTGACTGATTAGGCTATCGTGAAGTTACAGTGGTAGCTGATCCACAGTCAAAGTGACATGCGATCGGTATCTGGACACCAGATGTGCACTCATCCACCGACCGCAGATCTCTACGGCCTTTTTTTAAAAACCCAACATCCCTCTTGGTTTCATGTCTCTTCATCATTCACAAACATGCGAGATATTTTGGCAACTTTGTCTTAAAAGAATACAACATAAAGTTTGAACCGGGTGTTCATGTAATCATCAATTAGGCTAATGATCCGTTTGAGCTACAGACAGGGATCTGCATGCGTTTGGAACCAACTTTACCCTAATGTGACTTTTCCTAAATGAATTTGAATCCCTTATAAACATGATTGATGATATTCAGACATTTAGAGCCTAGTTCAGAACTAAAAACATGGATTGGATTGTCATAATAAATAAACAAAAGGAATTTAGCCATTATATGTGGTCATGCAGCCCATAAACATAGAAAACATGAAATATTTCTTTATTTGACGTAACTTTTCTGTATTTTGTCACCTTCATCAAATGCGCATGTCCAGTTTGTTTCACAGAGAAGGGTTACCACTCATATATTTATTGAGTTAATAAGGTTTAGAAGAAAAGATAGAAAAAATAGGCTTATATTATTGAGGAAAAGAAATGAAAAAATAAAATCATTATTTTTATTTTTTTTACACCAGTTGTGTCCCTGGGCCCTCAAACAATGAGGAAGTAACCCAATTTCAACAAAACACAAGGAGGAGGTTAAGCTGACAATGGCTGGGACAGAAAACTTTTGGAATTCTATGAGGAAAGAATGGGCTGTACCATAAATTTGGTTGCTCACCATTTATAAAAGATGACTATACGTTTATGTTATGAGTTACACTGAATAAATGTTGTAACTTGTGGTTACTTCAGACGTGGATTATGTCACATAATTAGCGTGAATTCAGTTACATAGAAAAAGTGAGCAGCCTCTCTGCAAGCAGAAGAGTCCTCATAAAAATATGAAGCTGTTTTTTCAAACAGGCTGTCACATGCGCACACAAGTTGGGCCTACATGCTGCTGAATGACCCAGTGGTGCTTGTTTATGTTACACTTACAAGTGAAGGGTGGAACTTGAGTACATCAGTAAGAGGAGAATGGACAGATATGCTTATACATCAACAGTTTACATTGGTAGGAAGGGGTTGAAAAACTGGACACTCATGTTGTGTCAGGGATCTGCGTGTGACGTGTCCACATAGTACTTGAGATTGTTTCAATTGTTTGCATCAGACTGCATGTTTGTTAAAAACAGCTTCATATTCCTATGACAATATGTCCTGATCAGGTGCACGTTTCCTAGTGTCTGGAATCCAGCTGAGATGGTGCGTTAGGGTTTAGTTGATACTGACTAAATAACAGGAATGCACCCTTCATTTAAAACCTCATTAGTCAAGCATTGCTTGTGTATTGCACCCTTATTATAAAGTAGCCTATTTCCAACTGCTCTTCTATGGTGTTTAACACTGAGAGTCAAAACACTTACCCGACCTATAATTCAAATATTTCTTTCATTAGAGCTGTTTTTTGACAGCTCTAAGGGCTTTGGGTAAAATCCATAGAATTGAATTTATGTTTTTATGATCACTTGTATGTAAAAGCAATTGGCTTGTTTTGGTTACATACTTATTCAACCACGAAAATCAAACAATTTTTCATGCACAAAAGCGTCAATGTCACATGTTTATACCGCAAGGGTGTGCAGATGCCGCTTCTGTGCCGTTAAGGTGATTACAGAGTGGAACGGGGACGTGTGACAAACAGTGACGCCCGGAGGCAGAAATGTTGCACTGCATCCACCTTATCGCTTTCACAGCTCAGCAGACTAAGCGAGCAACACAAGAGCAGTTTGCGTTGGTTTGAGAGGCTATCAATGCTTTCATGCACTGATGTGGGCGTCCTCCTCATTCTCTTATTCTTCTGGAGTCTGTTGTGAGATCCTGTTTTAAATGCACCAAAGACACCAGTCCTGCAGTCCTGTAGCTACAACATCCACAGGGACGCGAATTTGTTTAGGCCTACTGAATTTTTGTTTATTACGGACTTAAATGAGCCTGCTTACATCTGGAGATGACGTAACCCTGTTTGCAATATAATATTTAATTATCGTATGAAAATATCATTCTGTAGGCTACTTGTAATCATGTTGCGTATTTCAGTGACACACACACAGTTAGGCTACTTAATTAAGCTTCTATTTATTCTACCGACCATGGCAGCTTTCTTATCTGGAGACAAGACATATTCTTCTTTTTTTTTATTTACAGACATATTTACAGGCTTATATTCTATAATGTCTATCATTTCATATGAGCTAAACTGTATTTATAACACCACACCACAATTTGCTCTAATATAATAATAATAAAAACTTTTAGGCTAGCCTATGTACAGGCCTAGCCTCAATTAGTAAACTAAATAAATGTTAACCAACTGTGAGATTTGCATCGTTTATTTAGATACAGAGAAAATATTAATTTAGCCTATATTTTAATTTGATTTGTTTACATTTTAAAGTTAAAGTAATGTTTCAGAGGCTTGAGAGGCTGCATGCGTTTTCGACCAGGGAACTGAACACACGCGGCAGCTGTTTGTTTTACAGTGCTGAACATAAACAGAAAAACAGAAGAAATCACCTTTTGCTTTCATTTCAAAACATGAAAATGTGTACAAACTATGCAAATCGCCTTTAACACCGTGTGCACGATGTGCGGTGTAGCCTATCTCTGAAATGTCTAACGCTCCATCACCAATAGATGATAAATTCTAGGGTTCAGAGGAAGACCTCATTGTGCTCTGTTTTTTCAGCAGCACCAGAAACTGTGTGTAGGCTACTTTATGCAAATTATACTTTAGCAGCTCTGTTAGAATTATTTTCTCATGTTTGAACAAATTCACTTCTCCTATGATTATATCCTCAACATTTCCCCACATATTCTTCAGGAATGTAAGAATTGGCTACTTACAATAACAATAATCTCAGAGCGCTGTACGGGCCTAATCGGAGGGGAAATTCACAGCGGGCGGCTGCATGGAACAGGGCTGTAATTGGAAGCAGCTTGGGAGTAAGGCCGTTTCTGTCCCTGCATCGGCCTCTCGTTCCATTTGAAGCTACGGTGAAAAACAGAGAGCGGTTTTGGAGCCTATATTATGCAAGAAAGAAAGAAAGAATAAAAGAAAGAAAGAAAGAAGCTGCCATAACCCGGGGGCGTGGCCTGCCCGTGAACCTCAGACTGCAATTGGCCGCCTAACAGGAAGCGTTTCCAGCCAGGTCTGTCTTGAATCCCATCAACCCAAAATATGCCCCCTTCTTCCTCGCAAATCTTTCCCCAGCAATTTCAGAGACATTGTTTCAAAGACAGACGCTCGGAGAACATGCGTCTCCATTACCGCAACCCACAGACTCGAATCACATAATTACTGTGCTAATATCATTTCAGAGGAGGTGTGCGCATGAGGATGATGCACCAGGAGCAGCAGCAGTAGCATCACGCGCTACACCACCCCAATGTCACCTCAGTGTCAGCCGCCACCAGGTGGGCACGAGCAACAGCCGTTACCACAGAGCCGCCCCTAACGCACCAAATGGAGAAAGGCGCACCAAAACACGTTCCCTGTTCTGGATGAGCGTGACGCACAGGTTCACAGCATTCCAACAGAAAGGACCCCCTCCCCCGCCACGCTCTCCTCCTCTGCCCACGTCACTCAGGAACCGAACCGACATCTCATGTCCATACTGCCGCCTGCAACCGGACACGTGCCCGGTTTCAGGAGCTGGCCACCTTGCCACCGCGTCATCACCACCACGGCCATAGGGATACTTCTTCCAGGGCGGATCTCGGTTTCGGGACTGCAGTCTGGTCACCGTCACAATGAAGTCAGTGAAGGCGTCTTTGCACAACCGGAGATAATAGCCAAGAATGTCCCACTCACTACCACAGCAGTCCGTGAACACGTTCTCCCCAGTGGACACCTCGCGGTGTCTGCGGACCTCGGACCTCATACCTGCTACTGGATGCGGACTGGAGAGAATGGTGGCAGCCGATTTATCACCGACGCCGAAGAGGAGGCAGGAGGAAGAAGAGTGCTGCTGACGCTCCATGACAGACTGCAAGAGGAAATAACGGAAAGGAAGGAGTAAGGAAGGATGCCATTCGGTTCCGGTCCAAAACAGTCGGAGGGACAGCTGCAGCAGCTACGGCACCACGGGGAGGACGGCCGGGCCGAGGGAGAGCGGGCCGTAGCTGTGCAACACCGGGACCTCAAAACAAGGTAGGAAGAGAGAATAAGGAGGAGAGAGAATGACAGGATGTGCAGATAAAGAAAAAAGAAATAAATCAAATGAAAGATCAAAAGAAGAGGGAGGGAAAGAAGAGATGCCAGTGGATGCCAGTGGCAGAGGGGGAAGACAATAAAAGGAGCAAGAAAAATGGACGAAAGGAAGATATAAAGAAGAAGGAAAGAAGCGAGGGATGAGTGTTAAATGAGGGCACAGAGATAGGCGGGATGGAAAATAGAAAACAAAAGGGGAGGAGACTCAAAAACAACAGATGTAGGTGGACTGTTAAAAAAAGACACGGTGTAGCCAAGCAGAAAGAGGAAAGAAGAGAAAGAGATAGGCGGCGTGGACGGAGCTCAGCCGTGGCAGCAGCCGGAGGGGGGAGGCAGTTTGGTCTGCAGGCGAGACAAGGTGACTCCTCTGTCTCTCTTTCCTGTCTGCCCCACACTGTCTTTCTGGCTACTCTTTATTTCATTTTATGGCGGGCTCTTAAAAGACAAAAGAGAGTCATTTTGCCCCACCACTTCTCTCCCTGAAATGAATTTATTGCTCCGCCAGGCTGGAATTACCCTCTTCCCGTGTCCAGCAGCCGGACAGGAAGGGCCGAGCGAGCCGGCCCGACTGGGCCTGCTGTGGTGACAAACTTTAGTATCCCTTCCCGACATCGACATTATAGACCAAACGCAGCTGTGTTTGTCCCTGTTCCTCTCGCCTGCTGGGGCATGCAGAGCAAGCTATATGGGCAGATTTTCTTCCAAAGTAGGCGCTGAATGAAGAGAAGGTCTTAAATGAACAGTTGAACTAAAATAACTGTAAGCAAATGAATAAAAGTGCATTTCACCATATGGCTCTGGACAAAATAAACAAATGAAATGCTGTTATGAGCACATTGCTGCTATTTCCGGTTGCCTGTTGCACAACACAACAATAAAAACAGCACGCGCACAAACAGCCTACAAAATATCTAAAATGTTTCTCTTTAAGCCCAATAACTCTCAAAGCGTCTGTTCATGGCTGCTGCTGAATTTTACAGAAACGATGGTGGGAGGTTTTTCAAGAAATAAATTATTTATTTTCCTTGGGTTGATACGTGTGTTAACCTGAACAGCCAAATATAATTTCTGTCATGCTCACGATGCGTCTGCATTAAAGGCAGCAGTGTATTTATTTTCACCCTACGATACCAATCTATATGTTTTATGAAAAATCAACATTTGTTTCTTAGCTGACTGTGGTTTAACTGAAACTACAATGGTTTCTTCTTACTTATGAGTTGTAGTCTATTGTGTGTAGCCTAGTTGGCTTTATTGAAAGAGCTGTCAATCAATTTTGGGAGTGACATCAGGTTTTGTGGGGGGCCATGTTAATTAATTAATTTTGCATTTAGATCACGGATAGCCATCAAAATCAACAACATATATATTAAATTTTTTTAACCCACACAGGGCACCAAACTGAATACATGTCGCTAATGAGATTAGGATGTGTTTTGGATGTTGTTAAAGCCTACAATGATGAGTGAGGAGACATTTTAAAAGGTAAAAATTGTGTGTCAATCTTGCAGTTGCTCCGAGTCAGAAAAAAGAAAAGCGATTAACAATCCGTACTGTATGATTTTATCTAGTAGAAGCCTTGTGGAGTGAAATAAATGATGTAGGCTACATATGATCTTTTCTGCTGCAGATAGTTTGCATTCTTCAGCAAAACCCTAGATCTGCTGATGTCAGACGGAAAGCAGAGATGCCATGTTGAAATCGTCAGTGGGATGGGAGGGATGTCGTCGTAAATTACGAATATTTCGGTCTAAAACGATCAGTGTCTGTGAAAATACAAAGAAACGTAAATTGTAATTTAATATTAACTGCATTACCCGCCACTCCTCTCGGCTGATCTCCTGCTCTGTTTGTGGAAGATAAAGAGGCAGAACGATTTTCTGGTTAAATATGGCGACGAGCTGATGTATCAAATAATGACTGAAACATCTCACGCTCTGCAAGAGACAGAGAACACTTCAGAGACATAGCCTGTCATGTATAAGAACGCTGAAAGTGTGCAGATAGGCGCGTGAACATAGCTTAGTGGGTGACGTCACAAACAAAAGCCGTGAGGTTGTTTTCTGCCATAAGATGCAGAGCTCTAATATTATTACAACATAAAGCAAAAGCTGCTTTCTGGCTGACCCTCGCCGTGCAGAAATGACATCATGCTGAAAAATGCAGACACACAGCCTATAGGCAAAAACAGCTCGCACTCTTTGGATGTCATTACAGGCGAGGCCTCTGAATTCTCTTCAGTTATTTACTTCTTTCATGTCCTGCTGCCTCTTCCTCTTCGAACTGTCAGGGAGGAGACACGTTATTAATTATCTCATTACTTTTTAGACTTTGTTTATGCGTTTGTTGTAGGCCTAGTTGTGCAACCTAACCATATTAAAGTGTATGGATATTCCACCAGAGTTCTGCCACATCTGATTAGAAATCAGCTGTGACGTCGCAACAACAACAACAACAACAACAACAATAGGATTCAGTAATTAGTAATAATAACAATAAATAATTATTATAGTTATAATAATAGAATAACATATTTCTGCTAACGTTGCTATTTAATAATAAACAATTAGCTTTAAATGGTAATGCTAATTAATACTACAAAGGCTAATAATCCAAAAAATACTTAGGCCTATATCATTCGCTGATAATGGATAGCCTTCTCATGAAGCAGAATCCTTGTTCCTTCTGAACTGGGATAGCGGTTTTCTAAAAAACCCACAAACATTTCTCCCAATAGGCTGTTGTTTCTTAGTTGACCATTTTTATTTTTTTTCTGTTGACACGTTTCACCAAACAAGCCTTCTTCACCATCGCCAGTATTCCCGAGTGTCTATTTGAAAAGGCAGTGAGTTGCTTGCATTTAGCCTTTCGCCGAGTCCAACATTGTTGGAGTTAAAAATAAAATGAAACTAACAATCCAACCCTCAAACCCTTGCAGCTTTCTTCAGAAAAAATAAGATAAAAACAAAAGATCAACAGTAGTGCGTGAGAAAATGTGATTTCCGAAATAAAAATAGGTCTGAATGTGTAGGCTTATGTCCCGCAGTTTAAAGCTGTCCAATTCGTTTAAAATAAAATGTAACAAACATTTCCATATTTACATTACATTGTTGCAATCTCAATCTCTCATTTTCTTTAGGTCACACAGGAATCTCTCTCTCTCTCTCTCTCTCTCTCTCTCTCTCTCTCTCTCTCTCTCTCTCTCTCACACACACACACACACACACACACACACAGTCGCAGCCGCATGCGGTGTTAGTTGGATTTGCAGAACTAAGGAATTACAGAAATATATTAGGAAATACTTCACCGCAGATGTTGATGTTGAGACCCCAAACTGACAACAACAACGACTATAATAATAATAATAATAATAATAATAATAATAATAATAATAGTTGTTATTTAAAAACAATATTATTAGCAGGCCTACTGGTACAATTATGTGCTTATGTTATAATTATGTTCTTATTTGCTTTCTTGCTGTGTGTGTGTATGTGTGTGTGTGTGTGTGTGTTTGTCGATAAGAAGCTGTGGAAACATGTTGTCATAATATTGTTAATTACATGTCCTTTGATCATCACCCCAAAATCAAATAGGAAATTTTAAATATTGATTTTTTTCTTTTCTTCCTGAAAAGTACAGAATTGTTTTATCAGCGATCCGAATTGCGTGGCAGACAGTTTCCTTTATAATCCTTTATAATCACAACATTGTTTTCGATCTTTCAAAAAATATTTTAGCAGCATATTAGTCTATCTATAACACATGTTACCGCCATCTGCCTCCCTTTCATCCTCACCAGATGAGCTCACTGGCCCCGGCAGCGGACGGCCCGGCCGTCGGCACCTGGTTGTCGGCTCGAGCCGAAAACTGCAGTCCTTACAACAATGAGAAGGAATTCCTCCTTAGCATGGTGGCTACCTGGCCCGACAGCGCCCCCTCGAGATCAGCAGGAGCGTCGACCTGACCGACCGGCGGGTGAAGAAGCAGCTCTCCAACTGGAGGCGCGGGATCACCTCAGGACCTGATGGAGAAGAGGACCCACCGGAAGCTGTAAAACACAGAGGATGAGGAAGAGCAGGGTGTGAGTTGAAAGCTGCTGTGTTACAAAGCTTTCGCACATTGGAGACCCCCCCCCCCCCCTCCCACACACACACACACACACACACAGTTTAGACACTACTCCCTAAACTTCTTATATCCGGCATTGTACTTAGAGACGTGGTGGAATGAGTGAATGAGGAGAGGTTAACGGGATATTCAGAGGAAATATGGAATATAATTTGGACTCTTACGTTGACCTGAGGTGTTTTACTGGAGGATTACCACAGGAAGATTGAAGCAAACGAACAGCATTCAGACATAAAGGAAAAGGGGACGGTAGGCCTATTGGAAGACAGGCTTTATTGTATCGACTTTTTTTCAAATTTAACTGTGAAGTGCTTTATACTTCTTATTTTCATTTCCCATCCAGGCAACTTGGACTCAGTCTGCCTGTCTTCTTCTAATGGTGAGCATGAGTCTTCTTTTTGTGCATAATGACAGGAGGTTGTTGAGGAGTAAATGGCCACAGATTGTTTACAGCGTGATGGCTGCGGATATAGTGATCGCTCCATTTATTATTTATTCATTCAAGTCTGCAGGATGGGGAAGAACCAGGGCCGTAACCAGGATTGTAGAAAGACTCAGGATACAATGCACCCCTCAACATGGTCCACTTAAAATTGTAAATTTGTATTTCCTAACATGAACTCTTAATGGTGTTTCAAAGCCTTCTTAACATCCTGAACTAGAAATGCTGAAGCGTTTAAAGTGGGTTCAGCAAAAGCAAGAAACTTTCTGTAAAATGGTTCCACGTTTCTTTACATGCTTCTATTAAGTTTCGAAGGGACTTGATTATTGCATTTTAGACACCTTTAAACCCATTAACCCCCCCCTCCCCCACAGGGGTTTTAAGGTTTAGTGGGGCATCTTGCTAAATTGGCACATGGATTAACAGTGCTATACAATTCAGTGTGTTTCTTCTAATTACTATGTTTAAAGTATAATTGATAAATTCAATTTTACTCCAACCAGCATTTTAGCTATATATATATATGAATAGGCTAAATTTTAGGATAACAAAAATGTACTGGTTCTATCATCTAGTCAAATGGCAAAGGCACTGTTTAAATATTTCACTTTCGGAATCCACTTATTAATCAGACTCAACGATTACCTAAAAGATACATAGGACATAATCTCAGTGTCCTCAATGTTAGCTACAGCACTGCAAGAAATGTTTTTATAGCTTTTAAGTGAAGATCTAAAATGTCCATCTCTGTTATGCTTTTTTGAGAGCAGAACTCCTTTTTTTGTATAAACTATGTAAAGCTGCTGCCCTGTCTGTATGACTGAAGCCTCTGTCTGTTTTTATCAGACACATTCTTTAATTTCTTCTGCCACGGATTGTAAAAAGGTACATAAATGATGATTACATAATAATAATTTGTGATGCTGAATTATTTTGTAAAATAAAATATAGGTCTTACTGCTGTGATATTGCAAATACATTGATAATAATAATGCTTAATAATAAGTGTTTTTTATTTCAAACACAATAGAATCCTATTATTATTACATTTTATAATTATGCATTTAGCCTCCCTTCATGTTTGTCATCTCCCCTTGTCAAAATTTACAGCTGTAATTTTACTTGAAATAAGCCAGACTGCCAGTCTGATGGTTGAACTATGATGCACAAGCAGACAAAACTGTACAATTTCATTTATATTTCACCAGATACTTCCCATTGTTTCATATACATTGTCCAGAAGTGTCCATAGGGCTTTCATTTTTATTTTATTTATATTTCTGAAAACAATACACGGGCAGTTGTGTAGGTTGGTGATGTAAGAGTAAAGGCTTATGTTGACCTTCTCTTCTAAAATTATCAATGAAAACACAACAAATAGAAATGACATAGCAGTGGACGTTAGAACATTACCACTGCTATTACAGTGACACTCGTAGTAGTTGGACCTGCTAACTTGTAGTTATGCTGTAATAGTCGATTTTCACAACTCTCTCCAGTCTGTGGGACACACGATAGTGGTTAATAAAAAATATTTCCTGTGAGAGCTTTGTAACTTCTATTTCTGAATTTTGTTGTTCCACTTCCGGTTCACTTAAGATGAAAACAAGAGATCTATGTGCAGGGCACTCTTGTTGGACAAAGAGAGACAGAGATAAAACACCAACATAATTCAATATCTTTTTATTAATGCATGGTTAGCAGATTGAACAGCACACAGATATACTTTTACCCAGTAATGTATGAACATGTCATTTTGTTAGTTTATTTACCTGTCTATTTTTGATTCTTGAAAGGATACAGAAGTAGTAGGCTAGCAATTGTATACTTATAACATACTAGTGACATTTGCAGCAGTATCAGTGGTAATAGTATTATTTATAATCTGAAAAATGCTTAGTTGTGTCCACAAGGTCTGTATTTGAGTCCTGCCTGAAGCATCATATACCTTTTTGTAGTACAAATTCAATATGACATCAAGCTGTAGTATTATCAGTATCAGATGCATTGATAGAGCTGCAGTAAATTGGCTCTACATTTCTCTTTATAGACTCAAGTTGCACACTAACTAGTTTTCTGTTTCCTGCAGGTTGTGACTGAAGAGTGATCCTGTTACAGTACATATCTAATCAGCTTACCAATTTGAGATGAGATGTTGGAGCGACTACGTGTACACGTGATATGGTAAGAGTAAAAAATTGCGCTGCAGTAGGAAATTTCAACATGTTAAGACAGGATAGTGAGTCAGCAACAGATAGATAACTGTTCCTCAACCTGACCGTCACCCTGTTTCATCGTAGGCTAAACACAATACTCTGAGTCGTTATGTTGCATGAGAAGCGACCCGTGGGGCTTCTATGTGGAACTTTGATCAGGAACACATGGCTGAACTTCCTCTGCTGCTGTAATAGCCAGCTGCTGTCCGTTTGTTCAGAGAGGAGGAAAGGAAAAGACACTAAAGGAAAGCAATGCTGACTGTAATTCAGTGGAGAGAAAATAGAGCATATAAGAGTGGGGCAGGCGGGAGATAACAGAAGGAAATAAACAAGGAGATGAAATGGAAGAAGAGAAGAAAGACAGAGTGAATGGTAATGAAGGAAGAGGGGGAGGACAGCCTCGGTTCCTGGGCTGCAGGTTTGCAGGCGCCATGTTGAGACAGAAACATTTCTGCAGCGCCACACTGTCTCCAGCCTCATCTCAGGGCTCTCTGTCTGCATGCTTTTCCTTTTCCCATCTGTCGCTCTCTCCCACCTTTACTTTTTACCACAGAGGAAATTGACCAACTAGTTTATTGGTGGTTGGAGGAAGTAGGGGATGCAGTTGTAGCAGTGGTGTATATAACTGCATAGTGTGGTTTTACGATGGCCTTATTGCCCCTTATTGCCTATTGATGGTCAACAAAAGACACTCCAAAGGATGGTTTGTGCCTCCTGGAAAGTCTGCCTTCTTTGTTGTCCTTCCTGTCTGTGTAATGCACTTTATATAGGAGTGAACAAAACTTCTCTTTCACGCCTACAGCTAGTCCAAAATGCTGCTGCTTGTTTCTTAACAGGAACTCGGAAACATGAACACATTACTCCCGTTTTGGCATCGCTTCACTGGCTTCCTATACATTTTAGAATACATTTAAAAATTTTAAATCATTAAATGGACTAGCACCTCAGTATATCACTGAGCTTTTGCAAATTACACCCCGTCAAGGTTACTGCGGATCATATGTGGTTAAATGTGCCAATAACTAGGATGAAAACTAGGGGTAATCGTTACTTTTCAGCTATTGCCCCCAAATTGTGGAATGATTTACCTCCGCATATTAAACTGACACCCACCCTTCTTACTTTTAAATCTCGCCTACAAACACATTTGTACTCCTTGGCTTTAAGTGTACCATAACGAGTGGTTGTGGTCCTAGTTGTTGATAGTTTTGTTGATGTCATGTTTGTATACTTTTATGCAGTGTTTTGTATTATACTGTTGTAAAGCACTTTGGTAACTGTTTTTTAAATGTGCTATAGAAATAAAGTGAATTGGATTGGATTGACGGCAAGCTTTGTCTCTTGGATGCACATGGCGGATTCTCAGAGACTGAACAGATATGACTTTTTTTTTTTCACAGAGATACTCGTCTATGAAAACCGTCCTGACAAGATTCCTAAATTAAATTCTTGTATTTACTGACCCACATGCCAGCTGACCTCAGGCCATCTCTGCTTCCTCACAGTGTTCATCATGTGTCATCAACTTGCTGCTTCCAATGATCGCAGAGCAGCCCAAGAGGATTTCCAAACTTCTTTTTGCACCAGGGTCACACAGTTGGATATTCATTAAGCCAAGCAGGAACCTGGTGCTGAAGGGATTTTACTTGTTAGATATGATTTACTGCAGCAGTCTGACCTCCTGCTGCTGGATTCAGTCACATGCACTCTAATCATTTGATTATAACCAGAGGAAGGAAATACTGCAAGTCTTGCAACTGTCATATGAAAACCTTAACAGAGTTATTGTACTTTGTGACAATTAAACTGTAATTCAATTAACAGGGATTTTGATTTGTCAGTCTTTCAGATGAACCTTGGCATATTTAAAACATATTTTGTTTTCTTTTGGTGTTTTGATTCTGTGCCACAAATGAGAACTGAATGCACGGCAGAATGTAAAAAACAGACCAGCGCGGTTAACCAAGATTTGGGAAGATAGTGCTGAAGCTGATGATGAATCTGACACTACAAGTAATAGAGTTTGTGCTAATGTATTCTGTAAAGTCATTATCACTAGAAACAATAAAAAGCAGCTAAATTCTTTCATTTTAGCCTGAAGACTACAAATGTTTCTTTTAACCATGACTATGATCTTTCCCTGAACTTAAGGATTAGTTTGAAATTTTGGGAAATAGACTAATTCACTTTCTTGGTGAGAATTATGTGAGAAGACAATACAAAGCTATCGCCAGCAGCCGGTTAGCTTATATTACCATAAAGACTGGAAACAAGGGGAAACAGCTACTTTTGTTCTGTTCAAAGGTAACAAAATCCAGCCTACCAACATGTCTAACGCTCACTGATGAACAAGTTATGCCTCATTTTTTTTATATACAAAACGTAAGGTTTTATACGGAGTTACACGCCGAACTAGTTCTTGGCTTTAGAAAGTTCCTGCATTTGGCCTAGAAGTAGTCTGGCACAGAACCCTGACACATGTACCATACAGACATGAGAGTGGTATCGATCATCTTATCTAACTATTGTTAGGAAAGCAAATAAGTATGTTTTCCAAAACTATTGTTGAACTATTCCTGTAACCAAGTTGTGTTTTCCCCTAAACTTGACCAAACCTTTACCATAGCGGTGGCAGATCAGTGAACAGTCAAATTAATATCGTTAGTAGTGGGTTTGGAAGGCACTGCAGTTTTATCATGACCATTTAACCAGACAAGAAGGTCAGTTTTGGGGGATTCTGCAAAACCATGGAATGTGTCCAATGCCAGTGTTTTTAAATTCTCACTTTCTACAACATGGTTAATATTAGGGGAAGGTTGTGGTTCTGTATAAATAATAGATTTAAATAAATGATTGTTAGGGTATAGTTAAGGTTATGCAGCTTAAACACAGATAGATATTGTGGTTTTGAAAGAAGAATATTAATTGAATGTGACGGGGGAGACAAACTTCAATGAAAGTCAGTGGATGTCAGTCAAGGTGTGCAGAATCATCCAATAGGGACGTCATTCTTGGGACAACGGGCTGTGATGGTAGTGGTGTCTGACCAGAAAAGGCTCTCATAGCTCCTCTTGGAAGGCAATGACAAACAACGTATTTCGATAACTTGTTGAGGGTTTTAGCATCATGTGCTCTATTTCACAGATCGCTTTGTTTCAATGTGGCATTTTAACTTCATATCTAAACTCAATTTCAGATCAATCTGGACCTACAATGTGTTCTACTGAAGCAGAAAATGTCTTTCCCATTGGTTTTGTTGGGGAGTGTTGTCCTGTGCTGTCCCAGAACCAACTGGAGTTTCAGTCACTACTGCCACCATGAGTGGAGGCACTGGATTAATCCAGGAGTTGTGTGATGTAGGTAGTTTCAAGTTGTTGGGCTGGATGTTCAAGATCACAGGAACCTGAAACTGCCTGAATCACACCAGTCTCAACTGCACACAGCTGCATGCCAACAGACAGCAGAGGAGGAATCCAGCCAGACCCTACACAACTTTTATCATCTGTATATTGTTGAGGAGTTACATTTTTTTGATAGTCTTTTTGGACTGTTTGCTTGTGATTGCAAAACACATGTGCTTTGAATTTGATGGTGATTTCCCCATGTGTTGCTGCATCAGAGACCTCAATAAATGTTGTCTTTGTTTGCAGCGAGGTGCTTCTCTCAGGTGTTTTTGGAAAACCTTCCCATTGGCTGAATTTGACACGGATAACATTTTGTATAAACATTTGCATTTTTATCAGCGCGTTCTCTCTTTCTGTTTCAAAGTTTTCAAATGTGGAATAATTATTTTTATTCAGAAAGTATAGATGCAAATCTAGAGAAGCAATTCAACATGACAAATACTGTTTTTGTGAATAACCACAAGCACAAATTGCTTTAAATTCATTTGTAGATCTTCTGTGGATGAATGAAGTCTGCCCAGTGTTCTCTCTGGTCCACAGTGGATCGACTGTTGGAGAGGTAGGTTTAAATAGGTTTGTACATCAAGATTATCGAATACATTACAACCACCTCCTTAGACTGCATCTTCTGCTAGCTATGAAATAGTCACCATGAACTAAGCTTCTATCCACAGGTCAGAAGCTGTAGTTCAAAGTATACAACTTCACGGCATTGTTTTTGAACGTTCGTCAGAACTATGGTTTTGGGTAACACCTGCGCCGCTTAATGATGGTACGCACCATGTAAGTTTCCAACGTAGTTACCTCCATAGTTCAAACTAGGGTTTGAGTCGCAACTGCATAGTTCCAACCACGGAAGTTGCTACTGTAGTTAGCAACAATGCTTTTGGGAAACGTTGCTTTTGTCCCAAGTTAACTAGTTTCCACTTTCAGAGTGGAATCTTGTTAGCCTAGCTTTCTAACTTCAGCTTTCTCAATGTAACACAAACTTAACAGTGCATCTGATGTCGCTTACAGTACATAACCACCGCTATGTGGAAGAAAAAGAAAACAAACAAACAAAAACAAAGTTTCATATCAAAGTTTGTAGTCCAGTCCACCACAGAAGGCTCCTAGCAAAGCTGGCCCTCAGATGTCTGTCAACTGCTAGCATGGGAACCATCCAAAATTTTTTATCTTCCTTGAAACAATTGAATTATATGCACAACAGCTGCAGCATCATTATAGTGTAAAATTGTATTCTAATTTCAGTTAGACTTTAAAGGAGACCTATACTTTCCCTTATTTTCTATTATAAACTTGGCTATGACGTGCTCCAGGCACAGCACGTCCACAAACTACAGTGCCTATCCACCAGCTCAGTCATTCTCAATAATTGACTGCTCTGCTCATAGCGCTTTCTCCAGCGCTAAAAGATAGGACTACTCTTCAAGTGTTTGGAGGTTGTTCAGTGCGTCTCACAGAAACTGCATTTTTCGGTTGTGAAGGATAGTTTAATTGCCCAGTTACCCATGCAGCGAGAGGTCCTATTAGCTAGCTGACTCTGCCTGGACTGGAGACCCGGAGCCTGTCTTAAAATCTCCTCCTCCCAGAGGTCCTACGCGTTTGTGCTAGCGGTGTAAACATCAACACTCACCTCAGTGCTCGAGCTCCCAGTCCCAGATTAGTCCAGCGAATAAAGTTAAGAAAGTTGTGTTTTTGTACAATGAGCAGACCTGCCAGACCAAGCAAATCGCCAATCGCCACTCGATTGTTATGAGTGAACTACTTAATGACGCATCAAAGAGGCTCGCCAATACATTGCTGACGCCAGACAGATATCTAGCATGCCAATAAGAGCAGGCAGCTGGCAGAGCAGGCAGCTACTTTTTCATAAATTTTTTTTTACTCAACTTCAACTCTCTCTGTAGCGCAGACAATCCCTGCTGCCCCCGTGTGCTAATGCATTATTCAACCCATTCTCATCTCAGGTGTCATATATACACGTTTTGACAAAACCGTGGCTATTGTACGCAAAACGTTGATTTTGCGTATGTATGATACTCTGCAGTTTGCTATTGCGCTGCAACATACAGGAGGCTAACCCTACCTTTTATCACAGCAGGTAGGCTAGCAGGTAGGGTTAGCTGGTCAACATGCATATATTTACTGACTTAGGTTTAGGCACTAACTTCTGTGTTGGTTAAGATTAGGGTAAATTGCTTTGGGGGACAGTCAACGTTTTAAATACAAACTTCGCTAGCTAGTGAGCTACTTAGCGACCGGAAGCGCTACTAACATTTCTGGTCACCCCAGTGCATCATATACAGACCCGCCTGGATGCGTCTCATACACACTCACCTAGGGGCGTCTCCTATACACGCAGAATTGACATTTTGCAATACATACGCTTGTCAAGCGTGTATATATGACGCCTGAGATGAGAACAGGTTGCATTATTTCACCTATGTTCTTTTCCTTGTCGTGTTTTACAATATATAAACTACAAAAATATAAACTATATGAAATAAACTCCTGTTTTGCACGTGGTTTTGAAGAATTTCCCGTGTCACTTCTTGTGGGGTTTGGAGATAAGTCGTGGGGTCACAGAGTCGTTGTCAGATAGTGTAGTGTGTGATGCCTTCTCGCTGATCAGTCGTGTAGTGTGTGACGGAGATGTCAATCAAGCATAGTCCTGGGGCAAAATAAGTGAAAACACCTCTGTAGATGTGCAGTGCCTGGGCTTACAAACACAAGGGTCCATGCAATTTATATGTAAAATAGTGTAAAATTTAGTAAAATGAGAATTAATTGCCGCTATTTGTTACAATGAATCCTTATGCACATTTGTCTTGCATTAGCTTCCACATGTCACATTAACAGATATTTAAGCTCTTGCATTTTGATGAGTGTGGCCTGGTTTTTATGTTATTGTGAGGATAGACTTTTGTTAGTCCACTTTCACATAAATGTCCTTACATTGAAAACAATGATCTTAGTGGAATAGTTCTACATTTGGGAAAATACACTTATTTGCTTTGTTTCTGAGAGTAAATTGAGATCAATATCAGTCTCATGTCTGTGTGTTAAGTAAGACCAGGATGTACTGTAACTTTTCATTATATTTCACTCTATACTTTAGAGGGGAAGATCTGAATACTTTTTCGACCACTGGCCTGTACACATTACAGTGATCAGAGTCAAATTCTGCAGTTCTTTCACTTGTGAAGCCGCTCTTTTGCCTGTGTAAACACACAGTGTATCTAGAGTACACTGGCTTAGGTTTAGGGTTTAGCATGTTTAAAATTTGGGTTCATTGATAAGCATTTGTTGCTAAAATAAAACTATGGTCAACATAAAGATAAAAACATTACAAATGATTGTGTTTGTGTGTGTGTGTGTGTGTCAGGGAGGGGTCAGATGGAATTGGCCTTCCCTTTTCCTCCTCGTGCAACAAATGTAGTGCTGTGGTGATAAACGATGGCAGTATTCATTTTAAAACATAATACGTTTTATGAAGTTCAGCGTGCTGCCATGAAGCTGTAAATCTGTTCCCTCTCTTTCTCTGCTGTGTCAGTGGCGGAGGGCTTCTGTATAATTTGCAACGCGTTTAATAGCACATTAACATCTAGCAGCCACAGTTCACTGTCTGGCTATGTCCTGGCGCCGATACAGCAGCCCGTACAAGCTCACCATTCTCTCAACATTACATCAAACACAGGATGTAGATAGTTGTTGACATCCAGGCTGTAAATGAAGCAGTTCACTGTAAAACCTAATGCTGCATTTTATTGAAATCCACTTATGTTTAATCATTACTTCAATGAACGATGAAAACTTTTTTTGTGACAACATTAGAGCTTATAGTCATGAGTTCCTGCTTCAGCGCTTACTTCACCAAATACATGAAATGGAAACATCATGTTATCATCATCATATTGTAGGTGACTAAGACATTTTGAAATACTGCAAGCTCATTAGCATGCTTCCAGGGTCATAGATTAGCTTCATATCTGAAAGACAGTTTAGTTTTCTTTTATTTAGTTGCATATTTAGCAAAAAAATGCAAAGGTTATAGTATAATGTTTTAAAACTAAGGGCATAGGAAATTAAGATTAATTTCACACACACTGGAGATAATATTGCCTGGGACATTATTATTTGAAGATGTGCTGACTTGCAGCATTAATTCAATTATATTCACATTTAATGAACAATGATTGTAGCCCTACAAAGTTAAATAAGGGGACAGAGAGTAATTGGACATAAACTTAAAGGGACAATTTTACACATGACGTTTCATTTGACTCATCATGTGTAGTCATGCTCAGCCTGTCAAAGCAGGCTCTGAAGGAGCCGTGTAAAATCTGAGAAAATAACCTTGATGATGTCATAGTGATGTCATTAGGGTCATCTTAGCCTGGGTTTGGAGCCTACAAATATATAATAAAAAGCCTGCATTACAAAGTGGACCTGTGAAGTTTGAAATGTGTGGGCATTTAGGATCTCATGAAAGATGCCATTGAGTTGCATAATGGGAAACCCATAGAGGGTAAAAGTCAGGCTACCTCAGCCTCTGCTGCAAAGATTTTGAAATTAAATTTTTTTAAGTCTGTCTTTAACTGTAACTTGTTGTGTAAGTGCAACTTACACAACAAGTTAAATTATATGTCCTCATTAGGACAATTTCACTTGCGCATGCACTAGCAAAACCTCTATGACCTACATAATTGTGGCTTGTGCGTAGACCTTGCATGTGCTACTCATAATTTAAACCATTATGAGCTGCAGCCTCTTGGAGTGTGTGCAGCTCCTTAGTCTGTGGGATCCAAGACCCAAGCACTTCCTCTTCCACATCCTTGACACGCCAGTAATCAGATAGCCAATGTATTTTCCTTTACGTAAAGATAAGAAGACCAAGGAGGCAAGTAGAAAATAACACACATGCTGTTCATGAATGTAAAAGTTCTAACAGAGTCAAGTGCAGCTTTCCATGTGCTTACTGTAGATTGCTCCATAGCACCCTCTTCAGTGTTGGACAGCAATGACAGCCCTAACCCTTCTCAACATCAACTGAAGAAATAAATGATATCAGGTCTGACCTCCTAGCAATTATCAGAGCTTTGCTCAGTAGGGTAGATGGGCGCATACACAAATTCACAACACATCTCCCACTAGAAGTTATCACTCACATGTTTAGTATCCAACCATGATGGCAATGTTTGTCTTACATGTTTTTCATCCAAGTGGTGGAGAATTATACAGATTATTTATGTAAACATGGTAAATAACAATAATAATAACAATAATGTAAAACTCAATTCCAAGAAATGCTTTTGTCTGAAATGTTATGTGTATTTTGTTAATGCAAAATAGGTGTGCATGAACACAAGACATCAACTGTGCTTTGTCCATGTGGCGTTTGCATCATTAGATCGACCGTGACAAATGCTTTCTATAAATCTTAAAACATAACTTTGCAAAGTATCTTTTTATCAGTAGCTCTATGAGGTATCCCAAATACACATGATTTCTCACGTGTTAAAACCATACTTTGTAAAAGTAATTGAGATAATAAGATGTATCAGAAGATTCACTGAAAAGTGGTCTGCATGTGTGGATTATATACTTTGTGAAATTTTAAGGACCATCAGATGTGAAAACTGGAGCCTTCCTTCCAATTCCACCCTTCCTTAGTGCTGTGATCCCAAAAGTCTGAGGTTTATTCCGTGTCAGTCCGTTTTGATAATTTGATTAATTGAACTTTTGGTATGGAAATTCTAGCACCGTTAACAAATATTGTGGTCTGGTCTTGTTGAGAGGTCCTCTGTCAAAATGTAGTTCCAAGAGCTTCATTATTTTAGTTTGAATTGTGCTCATGTGGTTTATATATCTAAATACTGGTTTTATCAAATTAATACAAACTAATTGACAGACTTAAAGAGTTAAGAGCAGCATTGAAATATTGCAGCAATATTGGTTGGTTTCTGCACAGAACAAAGCTGCCATGTACAGTATAGTTGGTTATTTACTAAAACTGTGCTAAATGGAGACATACCTACTTAGTAATACATAATAAGTTGCTTACTGAGATGGACTTTATGGAGTTAAGATATGTTAACTGAGCAAATCAAGCATATTAAGTGATCCAATGTTTTATTGTGGACACTCGCAGGTGACTGAGGATGAAAGCTCGTTTTAAAACCTTTAAATTGGGCAGCCCACTTCTTAACTTCAAGCTTTTCTAACTTGAAAGGAACCCAAACTGAATAAGAGGAACATAACTACAAAATAACAAACACGAAGTTAGCAAACGTCTTGTTGTTATTTATTTATTGGTTCATAACATAAAATGAAATACATCCTATCTTGTCAATACAAAATCCATGAAAAATAAAGGGCAACTGAAATGTGGTTAAAAAATAGAGCACTTTTAGATAACATTCAGCCACTAATTAGCTCCATATTTTATTCTTTAAAATAGATATTTTTGTCTTTCTCGCTGTACTTTGTGTGATTGTGATGTAAAAATGTGGACAGGATTGTTGTGTATCTCACTTGGCATGAAATAATATGGAATATGGGAAAAATCTATTATATAACACATTATGCATCAATGCACTAAAACATTTGGTATTATTTCAGACATAAACAGAGTCAAAAGTAAGAGAGGAGAAAATTTGGCCCACATACCACACTTCTTTTGCATGTCTGGGTTTATAGATTGCAGCAATAGCATAATTGTCATTCATGCTACAGCTACACAGCCCTGTATTAGCTTCATATTTTCTTGCATAAGCTTAGCAACATCAGTTAACATCAAGAGCTTAAAGATTTTAGCCAACAGACTGTTTTAATAAAGCAGGAGCTTTTATCTTCATTGTAGCAAGATGATGCAAAACTTTGAGATGGTTTGCAAGGAGGAGGGGAAATGCACACACACACACACACACACACACACACACACACACACACACACACACACACACACAGTCCACAGCAGCTGGACTTTTCTTTCCCAGTAAGATGTGCCTCAGGACATTTCTTGTCACTGAGAGCCGGCCCCACATCATGATACATTTCTACTTTTCCCTGCCGCGGTGGATCGTCAGTTAATAACTCTCCACTGACTTCATTTACGAAGGCAACTTTACCATCTGAGCTGTAAAGAGGCTCAGGGAGATGCCTGGAGCCTCCTCAAGCTTTTCAGCTGAGAAATATGATGCTGTACATGATCTGTGAGGACCATATTAAAATATATTGCTCATATCACTCAAACAGGTTATCATGCTCAATAGCCATTATTGCTGGGTATCTGCTGATGCTTTTACATCAAAATAGAAAGCCTAAATCATTACACATTATTTTGTTAAGCGTTAAATGTCCATCCAGATTAAGTTACTGTTTGTTGTGGCCGACATTATTCAGGATTACATATTGCATAGGAAGACGTTGGAATTATTTTATTTGTTATACAACACAATATTTACCATAATGCACCTGTGTTTAACAGCTGCATTATGGTAAATAGCATCAATCATGATCAGATCATTTTAGTTAGCATATTTGCCTTTATCCATGTTCAGTGCAGATTTTCAAGATCTGTACGTCTATGCATTATCTATACGGACATATGTTAATCTACTGTAGCCTGTATAAAACATGCACATTTATGCTTAAATGTTTTAATTGATTAGGTCAACATAGATAGCATTCCATGTCTTAAATGTCAGACCAAAACAACTTCATGAATTATTTATTATTATTATTATTTTTTTTACTATTTATTAAAACAGTCCACATACTGTTGCAACTTGATCATTAAAAGTAATTGAAACGTCCATGATATTTCGTTAAATATCCATATGTTTTGATCCAGCACCGGAGCCTATTGTCTGCTGTCTTTTTTCCAGCACTGAAACACTTTGCAACAATTTGCAAAAAAATGAAGAAAAAAAACTACGTTGAAAATAAGTTTACAGATTGTCTAGTTGTAAATATGTAGATGTACATTTTCAGTTTTACCCGAGAAATGAAGTATGACAACAGCAGTTTAATAAATTATTTTATTTAACAAGGCTATTAGGCAAAATAATAGGGCAACGATATTTACACCCTCCAGTAATTGAAGCTAAAAACAATACATGGCTAAAAAGGATTATTTCTATTGTGATCAACAAAACTCCATAGCCTATTTCAGTTTCCTATTAAAATTAACTATAAACGTTAATAATAATAAATAAACGTTTTGGCTGTTGTATAGTATTTTACAAATCCTTCTTAAAGGCAGCGTCGGGATTACAAGACTGACAGATACTACAGATCTTTCGGCTGCAAACCATCTGTCCGGAGTTTGGGGTATGATGAAAATACAATTTAAAATTAGTAATATCCTTCAAAAGGCCTACTTTGCAGCAACGAAAGGGTCTGGGCCCACTCGGCTGCGTGTTGAGGTTTTTAAAAATTATTTTCATATTTGACACAATATCTGACATGTGTTCTAAAACAATCCCGTCAAGGGAGGGACATTTGGATGGATGGAATATTTAAGGAGCAGTTATGAATGTGTTAATTGTTTCTTTTTTATGAAGCTGAGCTCTGCTTCAGACTTTAATAGACAATAATAAACTGTCCAAATATTTTAACCTAAAATAAGAGTCTGCATACCAACACTTCTCCTAGACAATATATCACTTTCAAACAAAAAAAAATACCCCGTGAATGTGTGTAAACTCTAGGCTAATTAGAAATACGGTCTAGATATATATAATGAAGGCTTTGGCTCCAGGAAAAGCAAAGCACCGCCTGGAATTCACGTGTCAGTATTTCAAATCAACAGAGATGAACGCGGCCTCAGTTCAGCCTCTTTGGCACAGCTCCCTGGGTTATTTAAAATCTGCTGGAAAAAAGAAAAAAAAACTGCAGCGCTGACATTTAAGCTCTTCTTAGTGATGAGTTCACTTGTGTTTCTTAATTTTATTACACTCTTGCTTTTAATGACCCCGCTGGTTTTATGGCAGTTCAATAAGTTGGGGGAACTAATATTAAACCATATGCTAGAAAAACAAGCGAGATACCATAAACGCAATTTATTGTTCTGTAAATACTTTTATTGGGAGAGTGTAAACCGAAATCTAAAGTTATAGGAGGACGTTCCATGTCAGCTGAGAGCGTGTCACTTTCCCAAATGCTTTAATTGGTTACATGTTTATCAACTTGGCTTCGGACGAGGTGTAAAACAGCGGCGCAGAGTGAGCTGACTCCATGATTGCCTTTTTTTTGCCTCCCAGCGGCCCCATTTCTCTGCGTCATGACTGATGGACAAATAAGTTAACTTCGTGACGTTTGAAATATGTAGCCAATGTTAAGTGCAACAACAAAACAAGATTCCTAACATTACATATATGCTGATTGTGAAGGCTTCCTTATCGATAGTAGCATGCTTCTTACTAGGCTTGTGTGTGGATGTGTTGATTGGGTTATTTGTCTAAGTCACTTCTGTCATAGCACTGAGGCAACGTGTGGAAAATGAAGGTGGTTTGCAGATACTGTCTCCAATTAACACGCTGTCTGGTTGGCAGACCGGGCTACAGGGTGGAGGCCCTCCGAAAATTAAAATTCCCACAGCCTGCGGTCTATGGAGAGGCCATTTTGACACACAAAAAAATATCCCGAGCATCTGTGACGCCCCACATTATCATTTCTACTCTAGACATGTCTAAAACACTGCGTAGCACGTGTAGGATTCTAATATTGAAACCAGAATGCTTTACAATTGAACGGTCACGTGCTCCTCAGAGGCACTTTTTCCAACATTCAGTGCTCCATCACTTAAATGAGGCTGAACGCTAGGCTGTTCCCCGTGAACACCATTCATTTTGTAATGACTAAAGCTCATTCAACTCAAATCTCAAATACCAGTTGAAACTTGCAGAAACCCAGGTTACTTGATGATCACAGGTTAACACATTAACCTTTACTAAAGTGTACAGCCTATCAGTCTGGTCCTTACTGGGTCGCTGTTATCCAACGGAAGGTATCCAGATGAGCTGCAAATCGGTCCTTTAAGACGGAAAAACAGAGGCATGTGGTGAATTCAAGCTCAAAGGCCAAAGCTGTGCGCCAGAGTCGAGGCTGATGTTTAAAGGACTCTTGTTTTGTTTTGTTTATATTTGCTGCTGATCCTGAAATGAAAGTGGTCAGCTTCTCAGTCTTACTCATCATATCCCCTATGTTTCTGCTATAGCTTACCTTCATCCTTGTAAATAACTGCGTTACCCCCATAAGGGTTGCCATAAGCACTGTACTTCATGTTTAATCGTCGTAAATAACGGTGTTAGCTGTAGTCTCTGTGCGACGGAGAGATCGGATTTATAGCCTCTGCTAGCAGCCCGCCACCCCCAAAAAGTCCAAGACTCCAGTCTGCGTTAATTGTAAAGAAATAAAGACTTACAGTCCCGGTGACTTTCATAAAGGTCAGCAAGAAGTCAGATGTCTGGACTCACTGCAGCCTGCTGCTCTTGTCTCCTCATTCAAAGCCCAGTGACTGATTTTATCCTTCAAACGCTGCTGACTGAAAGTCTTTGACCACAAGTGGACACCACCGGGAGCTCCGGCACAGACCAGCAGAGCCACCTACTATTCCGTTACAGAAGAAAGCTGCAACCGGCGTCCAACCCCAGTCCCCGGTACCACTGCCGAGCTCCGGTCCGAGCTGTGTTTACTCCTGGCAGCCTGACCGCTGAGTGAGAAGCGCCCTTTACCCGACCGGCAGGAAGCCTGCAACAGATTCACTCTCGTTTACGGTCCGCTCCACCACAGGCCATATATCAGCCCTATAAAACCAAAGCAGCCGCCCTGATCTGGGATTTTATTATGGTATTAAACGGACCCCAAAAAAGTAGTTGAAGTAGTTTGCGCTGTAAAGACAAGGGGCATAACCACACAGGGCCCGATTTAATGGCGCTCGTTAACAGAAATGACTGTTAATCTGCCAATAAAACAGTGTCAGGCGGCTCTGCAGCTCACAGAAAACCTTCCAAGTAGTTTCAGAAAGCTGGTGAATAATTAAACACACCTAGGCGTGAATTTTACTGTCTATCTTGTCTTGGATACAAAATATCTCTACTGTTGACTCGACTGGCGCGTATACTAATGGTGTTCTCAGTGTAGACTGATGTTGCGATTGATTTAAGTGATTGCTTGCACACAATTCAGCAAGAGTGGATGTGCTCCTGGTAATGCGTTTCCTGCGCTTCACATTGAAATGCGCGTGCATCTATTTTGATTAGGCTAAGAATGAATAAATAAATCCTACACAAAAATAATGGCGCCACTTATTTGTCAGCCATTGTCTCCGCTGTGCATTTCAGCATTTTATGCATACTGTCCAGACCAAGCAGAACTGAACGGCTTTATGTCATTGAAGCTTGACAGCAGCCATAGATACACAGACCAGATACACGGAGGAACGGTTCATTTTGCATATTGCATATAAACAAGACAATTTATTTAGAAGGGAGGCAATCTATTAAAGAGAGATATCGTTTTGTGCGAAAGCGAGATAGAGAGATAGAGAGAGAGAGAGAGAAAGAGAGAGAGAGAGAGAGGCCAGTGTCAGGTTTGATTTACACTCCATTGACGCTTTATCAAGCTCGGAGAAAAAGTCCGGCCAATCAGTTTGCACCTCGCGCAGACTTGACAAACCCCCGCGCAAAGTGCGAGACTGTAGGGTATAGCACTTTGTTTCGCTATAGTGAGCAAGTTGTTTGGGAGGAAGGGGGCTAGTGTTGGGAGAGAGACAGTGGAAGGGAGGGGGCGAGCCAGCAAGACAGAGAGAGAGAGAGAGAGAGAGGGAGAGGGAGAGGGGGGAAAGAAAAATCTCCTAATGTGCCTCTTCTTGTTCTCCATTTAGTGAACTGGCGGCGTTTCGCAGATAATGTCCGAGAATGTCCATTTCTGGGACTTTGAGCAACTATTACGTGGACTCCATCATAAGCCACGAGAGCGATGAACTCTCAACCCCGGCTCGCTTTCCCAGCGTCCAGTATTCCGGCTCGAGCTCCGCTGCAGCCGCGGGCGGAAGGCAGCCCGGCGGCGCGGCGCACACGGAGCATCCCCATCCAGAGTCGTACCCATCCTGCAGCTTCCAGCCGAAGCCTCCGGTCTTCTCGTCGCCCTGGAGCCCATTCAGTCCGCACCACGGTGCCAGTGGCCTCCCTACGGTCTATCACCCGTACATCCCAGCCCAGCACGTTCCTGCCGCGGACACACGGTACCTACGCTCATGGCTGGACTGCGCGCCGCGCGGCTCCGAGTCTGTCCCGGGGCAGGGCCAGACGGGGCAGGTCAAGCTGGAGCCGCAGCTCGGCCATCTCGGTGGGGAGATCTCACCCAAAGTCGGCGGACAGCACCAGCACGAGACCACCACGTACATCTTGGAGTCGACATCTACGGCTGCGCGCGAGCTAAGCCACCATCCGGTCGCCATCCCGGGGGCAGGGTTCGAAGAAAATAAGGACATTTGTGAAGGGAGTGAGGACAAAGACGGCCTGGATCAAAGTAAGTTATTAAAGCAGGAAATAGCGCGCGCGAGAGGGAGAGCGGAGAAAGACATTGTAAATGCTTTTAATGCCGCCATAAAACAAGAACAAAGAGCCGAGAGCCAAAGCGCCCCCACCTCCTGCTCTCTAAGTTTACTGTGATATATCCCTTATCATCCCTGTGTTACCAGCCGGCTCCTGTAGTAACGGAGTACTTGGGACAGCCCATAAACAGTCTTAATAACTGCATTAGTAAGTGACTTTACCTTAAGCTGTTTACAGTTTCCCCGTAGTTTTTTGTAATGTGGCACAAAGGCCTCCTTCAAATAGTCTGCGGGTGGTGGACAAAATAACATAAACACACTACTGTATAATTAAAACCAGTGCAATAACAAGAATAAGCCTAAACATTTACATTTTTCAACACCTAACACAGTCTTGACTTAACTGAACAAGATGTGTTCAGAAGGCATGTTAATATTTCTTTGTATGATGCTGTGATTACATTCATATGACATTTGGACATGTGGATAACCTAGAAACCCCCCCCCAACAAATAAAGTCGGTTAGTTAATGAAGTTTACATGCATGATCAGAAAACAACTTATTTTGCATCACTGCCTCTGAAAACAAAAAAATTAATTAAAGCAGAAGGGATGTTATTCAAATAGCAGCATATGCTCTAAGACAGGGCAAACAAAAATGGAAAAAACAACAACAGAAACATCACAGTCCGATTTTGAAAACAATTCTAATCTGCTGCTCTTCTTCCTTCCTTCCAGCTTCAAATAGCCTACATTTATCTGTTTGTTGGTAGTTTGAGTACGATGTTGAGTTTGGGTGACCTCTAGATTGTTATACTTATGTATTTGCCAGGGCATGCGCACTTCTGCCCTGTTTGAAGGGGTTGGTACTTTAAATTAGTATTTTTTTTCTGAAGGTAGATTATAGAGCGTGTGTCCATAGCGTTTTAAAGCTCCGCGTGTCAGTTAGTCTGTAACAAGCGCGGCTGACTGGCTATGTCTTGTATGTAGACCTGCAGGCATCCTGATCTTTCTCATATAGCTCACTTTTCACAGCCTTTACACGTTAATGTAACCACTCATTTAAAAACATGTCATATTCAGCTACTGTCCTTCTTTAACCCATGTCTGGGTGCCTCTAGGTCTATATTGTATCATTTCTGTTTAAATATTCCTCTGTAACGTCACTATTCTGTAGCACCGAGTTGTAAACATAATAAAAATGATGACCCAGCTTGTTGTTTACGCCCCCACCTCATCAAACGTCTCACTGTCCATCAGCTGGACACATCAGATGTATGTCAGAGGTTGGCCTGCGTGGCCCGTCTTCTTCTGAAAATCATAAAAGGAGCCAGGCCGTCCATCATTGACCCTGTGGCTAGATTAGTTCTCAATAGAGCAGAGGCCTCATAACTCAGCCTGCAGCGTGAACTAACTCTGCTGTGCGGGTCTCGACTCCGCTCACGTGCGAAGGGGGGCAGTCAGGACGAGCTACACCGGACTCTTAAAGCAGGATCCCGTAAATCTCACAGCGGCTTCTGGCGGTGTTTAAATCTGTAGCAAGAAGACAAAATAAATCAACTTTGTCTTTCCTCCACATGTTTTGCCAACATATGAATCACCTAACGGTATTCTTTTGTGAAATTGTGTTCGGGAAACTGTGACGAATTCTCTGCCTTTCTTGTTTTTTTCCCCATTATTTTTAAAAGATTAGCACACGGAGTAGCCGACAGATTCACTGTTGAAGAAATGTATTGCAACCTTCAACGTTCAAGTATTGTAAAATGTAAGCACAGGCCATTTATTTAAGCGATCAAAAGCACTGAGCAGATGCAGCTGATTGAATATAGGCCTGTACTCTCTTTAAGGCATCGGGTGTCGCTTCATAACTTTTCACACCAGACACAACTGCTTTGGTGTTATCATAGTCTGTATTCCTCCGGTCACACAGTCACATGTGAGTTGCTGTTTTATTCATCTGCTCCCTCTGTAATAATAATAATATTTTACCTGTCATGAAATCGCCATCATCTTGATATAAAGCCGTCGGGGGTTTGGCCAGTACAACACGGGTTTGTTCTGTTTTTCTATCATCACTCGCACTAACAACAACATTTAATCCATCACTTGCTGGCGGGGTTGGCTCAGTCCGAAGCTCTTTTCCAAAGCTTCTTGACTTATTTTGGGTGGGACAGAAAAAAGCTCCCTAGAAAGATAGGTTCATTAGATTTTTTTCCCCCCATTTCTTTCTTTCTTTCTTTTTAAACCTAGGCTGGATGTGAACGGGCTCTCTTCTCTCCTCTACCCGCCCGATAAATCTAATTCTGCCATATGAGTCTGGCCCATGCGTCTGAGCGCGTGAGCGTTTGATACGTTTGAGTGCGTTGTGCACACGAGAGAGCAAGAAGGGAGGCCTCCACCCCTCTACTGGCCTTTTCTGGGGAAGAAATACAAGTTACAAATAGGCTACTACACACACTCACATGTACACACTTTATTACTGCACTGCTACACACAGTTCTTCCTACCTCACACACAAAGATGCATGCGCACACCCTCAGCCACCTTATTACAGCATCTGAGCATGCTATCCATCAGAGTAGTGAGCTGGTTAAGGGCTGGATGGAGCCCAGCAGCCTCCTGTCTGAATTATTAGACTTTCCCCCAGTAAGACTGTGGGTCCCAGTCTGGCGGTGGTAGTGAAGGCTCGTCTGTAATGGATTATGTTTTTTTGAAAGTGGAATCCATTGCAGACCGGCCTTCACTAGGAAACTTTCTCTGAGCTGTTTCACAGCCTCATCAGTCTTATTTGTTTTTTGATGTGCCTGTGTTGCAGTGGGTCAGTGGGTCGGTAGTGGGAGCTGCACCATCCAGCAAGTGAAGGCTGTTTCTATTGTTCATGGCAGCCATTTTGACACTCCAGCACTGTGAACGCAGAAATCTACATATTTCTCTATGCAGGATAAACAGAGTTATCCTTACTATAACACAGACAGACTGAGTGGTTACTAAATTAGCATGCAACGCCCAACCTTGACTTTAAAAGACCAGTTGGTTAGTACAACCTTTGTATGTCTCTCCTATGTAAATAGTAGTAGTCACATTCAAGGGAATTTACTTGTCAATATAAACACAATGTGGTTCATTGCTGTGGCTGTTTTCAATTGGCTGTGCTGGCTTACTTTGTGTTGCAATCACAGAGTTGTAACCAGCAACCTTTCCCCTGAAAAGTGGACAGCGTTTTTCATGACACATCTACAAACATGTAACAATATATTTATTTAGAAATCTCATTAAAGTGTCCTCACAGCGGTCTAGTTCACTTTTGTGGTTGTTTTGTTCTGGTTTAAAGACATATTTCTACATTTTGGGAGCTATGTTGATTCAGTTTCTTGCTGAGAGTCAGATGAGAAGATTGATACCACTCTCACATCTGTACAGTAAATATGAAGCAAGAGCCGCCAGCAGCAGGTTAGCTAAACATAAAGACTGGAAACACGGGGAAACAGTTAGACTGGCTCTGTCCCACAAAGAAACCAAATCTGCTACTGCTTGGTAATCATTATTAATGATGTCAGTCATTTGTGTGCAATGCATGGCAATTTAAATACAGACTGAGAAGAGAAACAACAACACTGGTTATTCACATGGGCTGGTGAACAATAACTTTGGGTGTGCTGAAAATGTGAGCCGTGTCATTGTTGCCTGGATGGTATGGTGGCACAATGGGTTTCATGTTGGCTCAAAGTCATATTTTGTACACTGTGTCCACCAGACATAATCACAGAAGTTGCCTGAGAGTGTTCCTACAACAGTGGCCAAATTCCTCTGAGAGCTTTGACTTTATGAGCTGCTTGCATGCTAAACGTTACAGCATGGCAGAATTATTGGAAGTGCTTTCCACTATTGATAATAGGAAGGAATTTTGGCTGATAGTTGGTGTTTCAGGAGTTCTAAAGGCACATAAGTTGGTACCTCTACTGTGTTGCCAAAAAGAGAAACATACTTAACAGAACACAGTTTTTATCCACTTAAAAATGTAATGCCTCCCACTTCCAAACAAACAAAGGCTGAATTCTATGATCCCAAGCTTTGCTTGAAGGCAGGATGTGGCAGCTTTTAATACGGGTCATCTAATATGCGAAAGTCTTAACTAGGACTCCTTGAATCCACTTGTTTCTGATGCACTTTTCAGTAGGGAATCTGAGAAGTTATGCAACGTCTGCATCTTGGCACGTCATAGCAGGACAAATCTAAGCCGAGTTTCCGTCCTCTGGTATTCAAAATGGCCGCTGTGGAATCCTACCTTTAAAAACATCACGTCCAGTCAAAGCCGGCATCCAGCTACAGATTCTCTTTGTGTTACTGGCACTGGGCAGCCATCCAGAACAAACTACGAGATTACACTTCAGTCTTTGTGCTGCTGCTGCCACTGCCGGGCAGAGTGAGAAAGTTATTACCCCTGAAGTTTATTAAGTTATAACGCTGGGTGAACAACCCCATTAATTGGCGTGCTGCTGTTGGTGGCAGGGTGAGATGGGGTGTAAGGGTTGGGGTGGGCGAGGGTGTTGGGAGGAGAGATAAAATACGACTTCGGGAAATGTAATAACATGCCTTTCGGATATATGAGGGGTCAATTTCTGGAACTATTAGGGTGAAATTGCAAAGGGAGGGAGAACGAGACGGGATGCAATATTAGTCTTGTAGCTGTTTCGGTCACTGTTTCCACACAAACAGCATTCATCACTGTGGACACACACACACATAGGCAAAGACACACATTGGCCCACGACTGGACACAATGTGCTGCAGGACCATAGCTTTACGGGAATATCAATCTTTTCATCCATGTACCTGTGACATCCACGCCACACTTTGTTTCTGCAGATACATCAATGTAGCCTAAAGACAAAAAGTCAAGTTAGGACTATACAAGGTATACACCCATAACCCCCCACCCTTTAGAGAAAAACAGTCTACCATCATTACCACCACCCCAACTCACCGCCTTTCTCCACCGCTCCCAGCCCCTCAACCGGTTTGTCATTCTGGGTGACAGTCACGGTCAGCACAGCTCCGAGCGTAATGGATGGTCCTGGAGGTGATTATACACCCGGGGAATGCAAAGCACCCACTTTACCGTGTGACAAAAGCACCATACACCCCCCACCCCGCCTTCTCCTCACCTCTTTACCAGGCATTATTTTGTTCTGAGATGAAATCGATCCTCTACATACTGGCCATGTTGGAGAAAATTGATTCCAGAGGGTATTAAGGACGTCTTTACTGATGATAGCCGCTAACCAAGTCGGCTGGTGAGAATAACACAGGGAGGCTGTCACATCCACACAGGGACCAAGGCTGGGTGATGCAGCGCACATCCCTGGCAGCCATCTTGGCTTTGCAATTACAAACCACCAAACCAAACAGAAACTTGTGCGAAAGAATCCCAGCTGACTCGATCTGTTCAACATACTCTCAACTTCACATGTGATGCAGAAAAGACCTGAAGAAAAGTCAGGGTCCTATTTGTTGATACATTACTGCAAATTTGTGTTTGCTAACAAGTAGGCTACAAAATGTTAGCTACTTCATTTCTACTTTTTTGAATTGGATAGGTTTTCATCATGAGTTTGTTCACATTAATGAAGAAAACCACCACGGCTGACTCCACAAAGTGTGCAATTTTTCAAGTCTTTTTGATGCTGAAATAAGCTTACGTTCTTATTTTAGCTCTCTGTTCTATAAAAAACAAAAACAAATGCCTAGTGATTACCATATGTGGGATTTTCTCCACAACTAGGGCGTTGAATAGACTGTTGTGTTCGTTCAAATTCAGCGAATATAAAGCTCAGTTTTAACGATCACTTGATTAGATTTTGGAGAACTAGTTTTGCAGTGATCATTGATCTGTTCACACGCTCATTGTGCCCACATGCTACTTTAATCTTTTAAACCTGGAAGACAGAAGATAGACAGAATGATTAAGGAAACTGACTCTTTGATGAAGAGCTGGTCAAGTTTGATGTGTTTTAGCTATACCATGTCCAACTGATGGCCTTGCAGCATAGTTTCAGTGTGTTCATTTGTGTGTGTGCCCCAACAGAAAAGAAAAAAAATACATTAAATGCTGTTAAAAAAATACTCATACCGAGTCAAAAAACATTGACAATGTGTAATATAAAAAGATAGTATGTCAAATGTATGTATATTTCAATTCAAATCGTGACAAAGAAGTTCCAATGCTGACTTAATACTAATTAATTAATACTCTTTACTTGCTCTCTCAACATTATGACTTACTGTCTCTTAATTTTAACTTAAAAGTTCAAAATTTGACCTCTAGTTCAAATTTTTTTTTACATTCGTATCAATCAGAAGTATTTTTATAGTTCACCATTCCTAACTTTTCATCTCCGTATGGCAGCACATTTGGATGTAAACCATTTATACTTAGATAAATCCGATCAAACACAAACACTTCTCATGGTTCCACACAAAACAGTTCTTTGTTCATAAATGGGAGGAATGAAATTAGTGATGAATGTCATATGCAGTTGTGTGAATTGCCTTGGCATTATAGCAAGTGTGATTGTCACGGTTGTAAAATATTACCAGTGAAATTGAAGACAGAAAAAGTCTCCACCCAACACCAGTTAGGAAAAAGACTTGCTCCTCGGGGAGGGACACACACATTTTAATCTCTCCCTTCTTGGCGTCAAAAGGCGCTGAAGCTCAGGCTGTGCCCCATGACTTGTGAGTGATAAGATCATCTCTTCTGCCGTTTTAGGCCAGAGGACTGAGGTTGCATTTTACGTAGAGACAGAAAATCTCCTCTATAACCCCTTGCTGCTCCTGGCTGCCAGGATAACATCTCTTTTTTTGAGGTTAGACAGCAACAAGGAAAAGCTTTTTGTCCCTAATGTTGCCCAAATTGATTTAGATGGGGCTTATATTCCCAAATACAGCCTGATGGTTAGACTTAATGTGCGCTGTTCCATTCAGTCTGACTTACACTGCCTCTGGAAGGCTTTAGTATAGCAAAAACAGTCAATCCAGAGAAGAATTCTCTCTTTGAGTCACATTTGGGTTTTGCACCAGATTTGGAATTGCACTGCAGACTGAGATGGTAGCAGTAGCAGTTTTAAAGAAAACACCAGTGCGGTCTTGCTTTCTGCTCTGCATGCTGCTCCTCACTTCTGTTCATCATCAGAGATGGTCCTTAAGCTTTTGGAACACATTTTGTATGTTTTAACTGTTCAGACAGAATTTTAAGACATAGCTTTGCCCAGTGAGAATTTCAAGTTTTACCTGTTTACATTGAATTTCTTTTTGGTTTTACAAACTCCAGCTAGTGTAGGACTCTGTTTGTGGGCTTGATTGAAGAGGCTCTGCTAACCACAGGGAATGAGTGCTCTTGGTTGAAGGTTTTATTTAGAAGATGTAAAAGTGGAAATGAACCAAAACCAGTTCTTGCCTTTCATATTGTTCCTGAATGTTAAAGGGATGGAACATCTCATAAAAAGCTCTTATTTTGTTCATGGTGGAGTTGTCCTTTGGAGAGCCTCTCTGCCTTGACAGTCCCAGCAAGCTGCCTCATAGTTGAGATGCCTCAGTGCTTTGCAGAGGGGAAGAGCAGATAGCTTTCAGCCCCAAACCAGACCCTGGCTTCCCAAACAAGAGATCTCTGCTAATTACCCAAAGCTATAAAGAGGGGTGGGGTAGTAGGGTGGAGGAGTCAGGGTGGCCTGTGGAAAACAAGGCATATGGAAAAAAGAGAGACAGAGATGGAAAAAAAATCTAGACAATAATTCATAATTTACTCTCCGCATCCAATTTCGGATCCTCTATATTTACGCACTACAGCATTATTTACTATTTTAAACACAAGTTCCCACAAAACCGAAGTTTCTATGCACATCTTCTCTCATGCGCTTTGGTGCTTGTCGCAATTCTGGTGTGGAAAAATGCAGCGGAGTGTCATCCCAGACCCTTTATTTTATCACCTTTAAATTCACTGAAAGAACTCCGTATGGAAAGATAATACGTTTTTAAAATATTAGTGAAGAAAATTGCTGTGCTCACCATTGTAAGGTGTTCAGTACAGTCTATTGTGTGAAATGTGTGAAAATCATATTAAAGCCTAATGAAAAATGAAGGAAGAACACAATAAATACATTTGCTCTAATCCCATCAGCCTACATTTGACTCTGTTTACTAATTTAGGAGCAATGTGAAATGGCGCAGTGACAGTGTGCTCAGCTCCAATGTGATCTTCATTCTCACGCAAAAAACAACAACAAAAAAACCCCAGTATTAGGCCTGGAAAACATCTTCCCTAATGTCTTTTTGTGTATTTGCTGTCATCACGCGTAGTAAATTTCGGCTACTGTGTTTGATCACAAAATGTGATTTAACAACAGACAAACAGACCATGTCTCTTTTTTATATTTTGAATTGTGAAATAGATTGGTGTATTTTCTGGTCTGAGCCCGTTCTCAAAGCTGGTTCCGTTTATCAGTGAGCTACATCGGGATCAGACTATGTTTAATCAGTGTTGTGCTACTTGTTTTCGTTTCGCTTGTTTTTTTTAAAATCTGCATATTGCGGTGTTCACTTCATATTTGTCCATGGTGCCTTCCTCCTGCACAGAGGCTGCAGAATGGATGGAGCAAGCCGTCTATCTTCCACGTGGTGTCAAATAAAACAAGCTTTTCCACACAAAGTTCCCCCAACTTTTACGCACGGAGAAATGTTGTTTTGATTATTTAAGGAGTGTTTTGTCGTCTTTAATAAAATGTTATAAAACTCACAAAAGACAGGGAACTGGAAAGAGTTGGTGCATTTTATTTTTTATATTATTAACCACCTTCTTTTCTTTCTCCACTTTTCCTCCAGATGACCCCTCGGCCAACTGGCTACATGCGCGCTCCTCCAGGAAGAAGCGGTGCCCTTACACCAAATACCAGACGCTCGAGCTGGAGAAGGAATTCCTGTTCAATATGTACCTCACGCGGGACCGGCGGCATGAGGTGGCGCGCGCGCTTAACCTGACTGAGCGGCAGGTGAAGATCTGGTTCCAGAACCGGAGGATGAAAATGAAGAAACAGAGCAAGGACCAACCCAAGGACTAGCGGGACACCCACTCGCGCGCGCACATACCCATTCAGACGCACATGCACGCAAGCTCACACCATGTATCCAACCTAAAGTCCCAAATGTCTTTTGTCTACAACACAAAATGGCCTTCCCAAGAACAGCAAAACTACACACCCGCATCTGCTGTTTCCAATTTGTTTTAACCTCCAGGCACTACCACGTGAGCTTCAGTTCAATCACATCGATTTCTACAACTGATCAATGGCTTTATTGATCGCTGACAGACGTTGAGGACGTCACCACGCTGAAGTCTTAGGAAGGTCGGAAACGCTCCATCTGATGTTAGAAGGAGGCTGAAACTTTGGAAACATTTGAGTTTGTGGTCATGGAGAATGATGGAGAAAAACTCACAGACTAGCAGCTATTCCCCCTGGACCTCATCTCCTTTAAATGGGTCGGTAAAACTGCGGACTGGACTGTTCGTTTGATGAACTGATGGCTCTTGTTAGTTTCATAGTTCTATATTACGTTATTATTTAGGCTTTGATAATAGGCTACATTATGGGAGGGAACAATGCAGCAAACCGCACAGTAACGCAACAACAGAGAGAGAGAGAGAGAGAGAGAGAGAGGGCGGGGGGTATTCTTTTTTCTCAAGCTCCGGGCCTGCTCCTTCTTTTATTAGTTATTTATTGTTCCGTCGCTGACACCGGAGAGGCGGAGGTGCTGAAACCAGGGTTTCACGCGGCCATTAATAAGCACGAGGAACGAAGGGGGATGCACACACTGATTTTCATCCTTCTTTTTCTTCTTCTCCTTTTTTCGTGTTCTACTCTCATTGCTGGCAGAATTTGATTAGAAAGCGCCCGATGGCCGGCGCTGATAGCAGCAAGCCACCGTTTGTTTCCCGGCTGTCGGCCTAAGTAATGAGCAGATACCGGAGGGGGGCGGGGAGGAGGGTGGGAAGTGATGGGGTGTTAACCCGACTCAGCAACCGGGGATCCGATTAGGCTGCTGTCGATTTCGTGGATCCCCGCCCTTCAGCTACCTCTCTGGATGCTTTATGCGCTGCAGCTCATCTGCGGCCTTTATCGGCCATCAATAGCGGGGACGGCTCCGGAAAACAAGGGCCTGGAGTTAGCAGGGTTTATCTGAGAGGAAACACAGCACAAAGCAAACCAATTTTAAAATCATATTCACCCTTCTTGAAACTATGCTCCATGCACCAATAATCAGTTTTGGCCGAATCTAAGTCAGATTTATCCAGGTGAAGTAAGCCTTGACCCCCACCACACTGACCTGAATTTACTTCAGATGATACTCCAAATAGTTTTGCCTGCTTCTTCTCTGTACGTGCTTTCTCACCAGACACTCTTAAACAGCATTTAAATGTGTAAATATGTGTCTCAAATTGGTGTTAATTAGACTGGTCAGTGCAACTCCTCCATGGCTGCTAATTAGTTTAGTTTACTAGCAGTTTGCAGTAAAGATGTAAAAATGGCAATTCCAGATTCTAGTGCGCACAAAGTCCCTGTGCGCGTGTAGCACTAGTTTGCGCCCGCAGACTCAAAAACCTCTATCCTCTCGCTCACCACCTTTCAGTCTTTATTCAGTCTTTCATTACATTTCATTTTCAGAAAGATTCAGCTCTATTTTTATACATACAATGTTGTGTATTATCTGCTATGCAAGGCGGGTGTCCCTCTCATTTCAGGAAACATACAGATAGTGTGCGTCACAGCGGTTTCCAAAGGCAAACTAGGACTGAAGAAAGAGCGTCGATTTTGAAATTAATTTTTTCTTTTGAAATTAATTTTTTCTTTTTTCATTTTGGAAATATCATTTATAGAGGTTCTGAAACACGTTCATACCCACACACAGAGCAGAACACTGTCGATTTAATCCCGTGCGTAATGCTTCAGCAACTGTGTCTACATTTATAATACCAGCTCGGGGTATGATCTGGTTAGACTTAGGTTTATGCAGAATTTTATTGATCTAAGTGTTAAAATATGAAGATGCCATGTTGGATAGCCGGCATGCCACTATGGCTTTATTTGAAGTGTCGGCGCAGTTAAATGGCGTCCGATGGCAGTTTTATGGACAGACCATAAACAACGTTGTGTGTGCGTGTGTGTGGTGTTGGACGTTGCGGCTTGCAGACCACAAAGGCTGCCTGTGCACCAACATTGTAAAAAATACAAACCCACATATATATATATATATATATATATGTAGTTACACTCACTTGGATATTGCCTCTAGTTTCGTTTATGGTCTTTTCATTTTTAATTTACACGCAGAAATGAACGGGTATACAAAGTGTTTGCAAAGTCTTAAAAAGAGAAGCGCTACAATTTCTCGATGAACAACGACAACACATCCTCTATTTGCGAGTTAAAATGTTTACATGGTTTGCGCATGCCTCGAGTCCCTTGTCATTTGAAGACGTTTTTTCGTCGTTTAGCTCTTTGTGTGTTACATCTCGGAGGGGAATGCTTACTGAAAAAAATAAAACTAGCCTACTTAATAGAAGTTTCTTGATAGAAAATATTTCTAATTTATTGTATATGAAATGAGTAACCTTGTATTTCTTATTGGAATGAGTTCAATATGCTGAATATTGTTTGTTTTTCTGGGACATGGCATCTGACTGTATTATAGATGTTATTTTTTTCCTTTTTGTCTGTCATGTTCTTTAGATTTTCCATGTTGTTGTGCCGACTGTCTGAATTATCTGTTCTGATGTCAGTCCGATGTGCTCTTTGTGTCTATGGTTTGTTAAATGGTGAACAGTAACGAGTTGGACTCTGCTGATGTAGGCTGAATGCCGCTATGGGGACAGAGAGGACGAAAGGGTTTGATTAAAACAGAGCTTCTACATAAATTATCATTTCTATTTTAATTGTTGACTCTGTTCCTTTCTGCCTTTAAAATGACTTTCTCTCGCTTCCTGTAGGCTATTTACTCTCTTGTCAAACACATTTTTTGGAGTCCTTGCTGTAGAGGAATATGGAGCCGCAGAAGTCATTTTATTTTCCGACCGCCTTTTTAATGAGTCAAATCTAATCCATGTGGCCACAGTAAAGGCTTTATTAACGAGCAGGCAAAGTCCAGTCTCTCTGATCTTCTCCTACATGTGAAATGTTCCAGACCCTATTTGTATGTTTAATTATCTTCTGTGTGTTGTTGTCTCTTGTTTCTTTGTGCGATGGCACTGCGGATGCTGGATTCCTATTAAAGACGAGACTTTACAGTACGACCACGCTTCGTGTCATTCCATTGCTGCTCCTCACTGCTAATTAAATAGAAGGTTATCCGGGGATGAAGGGCGTTGGGCTCATATGTGAGTTACAGCTGAAATCGTGCATTTACATAATTTCCGTTATAGGACGATCTCATTTTCTGATGTTCTCCGGTGTGAATGAGGCTGCAGCGGGGAAGTTCAGGAAGAGCAGCTGAGCTTTCCTTTTGGTTTCTTATTTTCGTACTTCTCCAGATTGAATTTGGTCTGTGGGAAGAGAGAAAGAGGCAGATGAGCCAGCATGTGTTTAAAATATGTGTGTCTTCAGTTGTACACTGTAGCTTAAAGGAGAGGGGCGTCTGTTTGGCTGCAACACCAAAAGACTGTCATAAACCCATAAACACCCCCCCCCCACACACACACACACACACAGATGATGGGTGCATTCATTAGAGGCGTCGTCATCCGTCCATTAGGAGCTTGTGAAGCCGCTGCGGTTCCTGTGTTTGTCTCTGCACCAAATGACTGATAGACACAGAGTCTGATGAGGGCTGCAGGATCTCTATTTCCTCTCTTGCTTCGCACATGATGTAGTAAGTGTTATAATGGGGCTTGAAGTTGAACTAGCACAAGCTCTAACAGTTGCCATTTGTTGCTGTTCATACCATAGTGTAAGAACGACTAACATAGCATGAATGACATGATGGTAAGAGAACAGGGACAGAGGCAAAGGGAACTTCAGTAACTCTTTCAGCTGTGGCTCCTTCATCAGATTAGTTCACTGAAGTATGTATTCTGATAATTGTGGTAATTTTGGTTGTATTTGCGAAGTCAAATGATCTGATGATGACAATTGCTGCTGCTTTTGCCACACTTTATGGTGTATACACAAAAAGGAACCCTGAAAAATAAAATCTGATTCTCTTTTTGTCAATTTATTTAACTGTTCAAATATATTTTCCACAAACTTTGTCTCCATCTGAATTTTCTTTCTCCTTCCTAGAAGACATCAGAGTCAGCCTAAAATGCTGCTCTGTCTTTGCAGAATGTCTAAATTCCAGAAACCCTGCTGGGGACATGCCCTCAGTGTTAGCTCCAGACAGTGTTGCAGGGCTAGAAGTAATAGCACGGAGAGTGTAGCTTTGGTATGGCTCCACAACGACCATTTTGTAATTGCAGTTCCACTACTGGTAAGATTAAGCATACAATGTCAGTAGCAGGGGTGGTTGCACTAACACTGGCATTAGCAGCAGCAGTATTGGTAACACTTCATTAAAAGGATGTATAAGTACTGTGAACACTCACAGAATGGTTTTATAACTTTAGCCTACTATTGCAGTTGCAAGCACATTTTTAAGGTGTGTCTTGAGTCATTTGTCAACAATTATGACTCCTCCAATCAGGCATCCCTTAAATGGTCAATACACACATAGCCTAATGAATGCTTGATAACACAGTGTGACAAATGACATTATTGTATTATGCACCTGAATAAGTCTTTCTCCTTGACAGTTCAGACTCATTCATGGGTGGATTTACATGGAATTATAAGTATGTTGTATTATGTTATTAAGCATTCACTAACTGTTGGTATATACAGTTCTCATACATTAATAAACACTTAAAATCACATTGGGTCTGCTTACAAGTACTTCATAGGAGCAAATATTAAGGAGTTATAACTGTTGGCAAATACACTGATAAACACAAAACAGCGTATATGTTACAAACATTTATTCAATGTCTTATATAGTGCTCATAAATGCTAAAATGGGGGGTTGAAATAAAGTGTTACCACTTTCTTTGTAACAGTATGTGCATTATTCGTAGCAAACAGTGCTGTCAGTGAAAGCAGTGTGAACAGCCCTAGTATCGTAAAGAGGTAGACATGTTTTGTGAACAAAGTCTCAGCACAGCCTTTTTTCCGCTTCACCCTGCACTGCTGGGCCCAACCAATGAGGCCTCAGGATTCAAGCAGATCTAGGCTCGGGCACCAACAAAGCCATCCCATAAACCATCTGCGGACTCGAAGGCGGATGATTGTGATTCCTCTCAGAGGTCTAGAAGGGTCGAAGCTTCATTAAATCCAGAAGCCCTGCACTCTGCTGCAGGCCTCCCACCAGCCTAAGCCCACTGCTGCTGAAGGCCAGCAACTGCTAGCTGCTTCACCCAACTGTGTGTGTGTGTGTGTGTGTGTGTGTGTGTGTGTGTGTGTGTGCGAGAGAGAGAGAGAGAGGTGGAGGGTTTGCTGTGACACATGGAACAGTGTGCAACTGAATGCAGCGAGCAGGAGCCTCACACAACAACACCTATTCACATTTCAGTTATGCAGGCAGAGAAACACCAGGGAGGCATCATGGTCACGTTTGAAGGAGAGGGGGCAGCAGTACTGTTATTTGGGTAAAGTGAGATATAGCAGTAATTCCACAGAAAGAAAGTACTGATCTGTAGCTATGGTACAACGGAAAACAGTATTCACCACCAAAACCATTGTCTTTTATATGGATTCCTTTAGAAAGATTAGCGATAGAGGGCTCAGTAGAACCAACTTTGGTGACAAACTATTGTCATATTCATCCATAAACAGTCTTAGTGTCTGATTAACCACTGTGACACAGGGTGGTCTGGATCTGGGAAAACACAGAAACCTGGATAGAGGAGAGTCTGTTTCTTGAGTCATTTGTTGGATGTGGTTAATTGTCTCGCACACATTGTCACACGACCCCCCCCCCCCCATTTCATATCTCCCTTTCTCTGTAACATATCCCAGCAATGGAGAAATCCAGATTGGCTCATTGTGCAGTGATTTAGCTGTGTGGCCAAAGTAGGTGCAGGCCTCATCATTTCAGTGATACTTTCTGAACTAAATAGGCTGCCCAAGAGAAACCACGTGACGCCCCTGGCAAAATTCATATTTCAACCCAGGCGAACGTGGCCAATCCAATATGTCTTCACTTTATCCTCTCATATTAAAACAGAGTCTACAGGTTATAATGGGCTTCACTGACACACTCTGGGTGGATGTTAGAGTGCAGGGGGCCCAGAGCAGCACCCCCACTCCCCCCTGCACTGACTGATCTGCTTTACACAGCACAGCTTCTATAATTCATCAAGCAACAGAGAATATCATTCATATTCATAAATTTTCTCAAAGAGTTATGGTCCCGCTGATGCAAACGGTTGTATGGATCAGATCACATCAGCCATTCTGGACTCATTAACAGTTGGACAGCAAGCCAAATGCTGCTGGCTGCTCTGCAGATGTTCCAGCTGCCTCTGACTGGACAGAAATAATAATAATAATATGAAATGCAGAAATAATAACAGCATGTGCATGTGTTACAGCTCCTTCTGTAGGGACATAGAAACATAATAATAACATTAATATATGAATAATAACAGTGGGCACACTTTTCAGCTCCTGGAGAGAGCAGAAAAACATTATAGGCCTGTGGTAATAATAACGGTGTGTGCACATGTTACAGCTCCTTCTGGCATATATTTAACACTAAATATATTAATAATAACATGACACAACATCACTGGCAGGAAAAA